GTTCTTGCTTTTTCTCTCAGGGTTCTTCAAAAAACACCCTTCTGTGTTAGCGATGCAGTCGCATCAATGACACCAGACCGGCTGGTCCAAATTCGTCCCCGTCTCCGTTTCGATATCCCACTCATCAAGGTCAGCACCGTCCCCTCCATCAAGATCAGAATTCAGTGCCTCGTCGTTAAAGTCGCGACCGTGCGCGAGGCCTCATCTGGTCCGTGCTTGGCCGATGCGACAGTGCTCTTTTCTTAACCCAATTTACATAATAATGCGTTAATATACAACATAATCGTTTTCAAATATGTGCTACATACATCATGATATAGCCATGTACCCATCTGGAGAGTCAGGAGCCCGGACTTGCGCTGTAGCAGCCTGCTTCCAGGTAGGCCCACCGACGACTCATCAGGGGTGCTCAAGTCATCTTCTTCCGCGGTGGTATTCACCACATGAGGACTGGAGGTTCTCATCGGAGAATGACCCGGCACTGAGACGAGAGCCTGCAACTTGAAATGCACACAGAAAATACAACATTATGTTAGTCAACACAAGTAGTATATGCTGCATGATCGTATTGCTAACCTTGTCGTGTCGCTATTTTTGCGTTTTTTTTTTGCACACGTACCAGTCATCGTCTCCGACAAGCCAGCAGGCTCCGCTGATCTTTTTCGTTTCAGATCAGCAAGAGCGCGTTTGCGTGAGTCGGCTCCTCGTCGTTCCTTTAGCGCAGCGCGTTCCCGCTCCTTCGCTTTTTTTCGAGTCAGGGCAGATTGCTGTCGCTTCGATATCTTCTTTTGCCCGGGCTAGGATAAAAGAGTATGCATACAGCATCAGATCAGTTCACATAAGCAGTATATACTTCATGAACTCTACATACCTCTTCGGCGTGGATGTCTTGGTCTTGCTGGAACGCCGCCTTATTTGCACGTATTTTTGCGCGGCTTTCGCCGAGGTCGCCTGGCGGTTTGGGGCCGCGTTATGGGAGCGTTTTTTCCTAAGGAGGAGAATTTTTCCGGAACGCGGTTACGCTTTCCGGCGCTTTCAGGCCTTGGTTTTTCCTCGTTTTCTTTTCCGAGAGGGCGGCGTCCTTTTTCCCTCTCACCACTTCAGAATGCAGGGTGCTTGTTTAGCAGGCGCAGGCGGTGCCTGTCGGCAGGCTTCTTTCCTCAAGGTGCGCTCGGAACGCTTCAGCCTCGCGGCGCGTCTCCCGTCGCGGCGCCATAATCGTTTTTCTTTTTCTCGGAGACTCTACAGCCACATATCTATTCGTACTTAGCAACAATATGGCTTTTCTGCCTAGGCTATCTTTGTAATTTTTGTTCGTTTTTTTGTGAATATTTTCCCTACACCTGTGCATCTCACGTAGAGCGTTCTTTTTATGTAAATGTTGTCATATCCAACATTTAAATACGAGAGGATAATCAGACGGCATGGTATTGTTTCCATAATACCCATCATTTATTTATGCATTTTCTTATAAATACCCAGGTTTTTATTTTACGATAATTGACCCCCCTGTGAAATAAATTTCAGATAATTCAAAGCCCCAAAATTTATCACTTAGAACAAGCACTACTTTTTGCCATTCGTTATAAATCTTTCAATGCACGCGCTATCGACCTGAAGAGTCTCCCGATCGAAAGTCTCCAGTGTAAAAAGTAAACCCTAAAACGGCGATGCGCTCTTGAGAGAATTCTCGAAGTGTTCATTGTTGATCTGGGCTTCCCAACGTTTCTGCCGTTGTTCAAAGCTAACAGGACGCGTCAGTTAGCTGTCCCCACATGACCAAACCTGGCTGTATCCATTCACGTTAGAGAGGTACACAGCTGAAGGGGATAAACACATTACCGTGATATTTGAATCGAAGAGTCGTTGATCTGAGCTGTCGCTCTTCGCGTGGTGAGGCAAAGTAAAAACGGAATGAATTGGACACTATGTCATTTAGCTAGCTGTTGGCTACATGTGTTGAACTTGTGGGTAACGTCAAACCAGTGACGTAGGCTGGTGACGTCACGTTGAATCATGACAAAACGACGTTCGGGTAACATATATCGTTCGGTCAACGTTCAAGTGTGTTTACATCACTACACGTTGCGCGCAGTTCCTAGCATGGAATTCCGTAGCTCAGCGGGTATACTAAGTGTTTAATAGCCCACGGCAGATATGACCAGTCATTCTCTGGATATGAATTGCTCGTGAGCCAATAGGACGCTAAAGCAGGAGTTGACTTTAGCTCGACGTCTTGATCAATTTACAGTTAGTACTACTGCGGCAATATTTGAGTATTTGAAACAACAGTATGTTCTAACCTTAAAAAAAACTAGACCAGCGTGATTGCTAAGGCCATTGAGGGGCTCAATCATTCAATGACTGAATCTATCCAAGTTCAGATGGACATGGGTACCGGACCTTTTAAACAACAGAAAGTGAATGGAGGCAGTTGTCCGGTTCGGTGCCATATTGAGGTGATCGAACTATGCTGGACAGAGAATGGTTTTTACGCCGATGTTACACTATCTTAGGCGGTGTTTAGATCCAAAACTAGATCACGATTTAGGGCCCTAAATCGCGATTTTCGAGTGATCGTGATTTTTCAAAAAAAATGTGCTTCCAAATAGGACCGCGATCTTCATAATCAAAATTACATCTGTAATTTTGCAATTTTTTGGGGCTAACATGGGCGCTTCCAATACACCGCACAAAAGATCGTGATTTAGACAAAAGATCGCGATTTCAAACTTGCTACTCTGACCAGAAACTTTTATCGCAATGTTCCCTCGTGGGGGCGCCAAAACATGGCGTCTGAAGACCAAGAGCGCGCGTCTTGGGACAGCGCGAAAGATGCCTCCCTGGTAGATGCCATGACGCAGCAAGCGCAAGCAGGGAAGAGTGCTGACAGCGGCTTCAAGAAGGAAGCGTGGACCGAGGCACTAGCTGCGTTCAACACCCGTTTCGGTCGAAGATGTCGAGGCAGCAGATCAAGTCCAGACTGACAGCGGTACGTAAATCGGTTACAGCGCT